GCAGCTTTAAATTCCAGCAGCTTCAGTGCTCGATCACACTCTTTCACCTTTTCAAAATGACTATGACACAGTTTGTAATGTCTTTTTTAAACAAGACATAACATTGCGACCCATAACGCGATAGCAGATCACGCATTGCGCACACCCATCCATGTTTTCTATGCAAAAAAATGTATTTCCCATTCCTCCTGAAACATTTTATGTGTGTATTATTCGAATAGTTGTGCAGTAGAGATGGGATACTATCGTTAGTAATATCGATAGTCTGTCGCCACTAGCGATAGTTTTTGAAAATATCGATGTCGGTTTTAGCGAAACTTCTCTCTTTACATCTCTTAACATTACATTATTTTTAGCAGGGTTTGAAAAACTGTCAGCACAGCAGCAACAGCACTACTATTTTTGCTTTTACTTCGCTTTGAAATTTTTGATTTTCATTCAAACTGATTTGCTTTCGCTGTGACTTTGAAAATTTTATTTTGCTTTTTTGTCGGCAGTTTATTGAAAACAATTTAGTAAATTGAATTTTCTGCTTTTGATTTGCTGTGATAGCACTTTTCTTGTGCTGTGATTTGCTTGAATGTCCTGTGCACATGAAGCTTTGCAGCATGGTGTATTATCGCTGACTCGCCAGGAGTGAGTACACACAAAATTTGCAGTTTCAATTCCTTTGCCTTGACCTTTCGCTAGCGATTATCTGGTGTGAAATTGGCGATTACCAATCGCTAGCGAATTGCCTAACAATCGGTAATGCATCGTCGTAGTTAGCTTATGGTCGCCTCTTGTCACCAGTACAACTAAATTGTAGTGCATTTGTGCATGCATACATATTTCTGCCAATTTGATGTTTCACGGTCAAGTGGTAGTCGAATTGCTGTTGCTTGGCTGCCGCTGCGCTGTCGTTGTGCTTTCACATATTGTTTTTTAACTGTCTGGTTGCTTTCGAAATTTTACAGCAAAACGACAGCCAAAGCATTTGCTTTTTTCCGAATTGCTGTTGCTTTGCTTTCGATATCATACATGCCGAAGTCAAAGCACAGCAAAAGTAAATCAAATGAAAAAATTACAGCATTTTCAAACCCTGTTTTTTTTTTATCCAAGAAAATTCTAAATACAGGCGGCAAAGAAATTTTTTAGTTATCGGAACTTTTAGGCCATTATAAGCTTACACTGAGTTATAGTAAAATTTAATAAGCTCTAAAAGCGCTTACACAAAATTCTTATAGAAATTCGAATTAAAAAGCTTGAAATTTTATTGATTTTGTAGTTGTTTATGTTTTGTACAATTTTCACAAAAAATTAGTAGACACCAAACAAACAAAAAATAGTCAAAGCTGCTAAAAATGTTGTGGTGCTATTATTTTTACCAGTACTTTATTTGTTTTCTTATAATATGGTAAAATGTTAATAATTTCGTTTGTCCGGATTTTGATATGTGCCTCCGTATTTGACCTCAGTTGAACTTCTATGAGTATGAATTGTCAATTTAAACGAATATCTTTTGTTTTGTTTGTTTCGTAGTATTATAAATGTATTATTATAGCCAATTTCACTTCTTTGCACTTCAACAGGGACAAACATATGTATATATAATTCAGACGCATAAATAAATAAGTTTATTTTATTATTATAAGAAGTTATTTTTGCTGCACTCAAATCTAAACAAATTTATATAATCTCTTTAATTTACCAAGTCATTTATAAATTCATTAATTATTTAATTTTCAAGCATTTTAGCATTTCAATTCAATACCTCTCACGACGATAGTACTATCGATAGTATCGATGTTTTCAACTATCGTTTCGAAAACTATCGAGTGGCGGTACTATCGATAGTATCCCAGCTCTATTGCGCAGTGAAGTCTCAGCAGCAACTGATTTGATTTGCTTTGCCGAAGTGCTAAGAAAGCTTAAGGCTATCTGCACACTTGTCGTCCAATCATAGTTGCGTTATCGTCTCGCCCTGAAATTTTGAGCCGAGCACATGCATTTCAAAGGAGATCTGCACACTTGTCGTTATCGGCTAGTTATCGGCAAATCGTAGAAGATGCAGAAACGGATAAGTACGGCACTGTCGTTTGCTAATCGTTGTGCACGCATTGTTTGTTTACATTTTATGGGGGAAAATTAGTGAAAAAGTTAATATTTGCATTAAAATTGTATAAAAATTAGTATTTTTTTGCATAAAATCTGTGGAAATTATTAAAAAGTGGATAATTGCATTAAAATTTAATAAATATGAGCGTTTTAACTATAAAATATGACGAAATTGTATTAAGTCTCTGTGTGCATACACAAAACACATTCCAGGAAAAGAAAAGAAGAGATATTACTGAAAAATTACGTCTAGAAATGTTGCAGCACAGTCTATATTTAAAAAATTGCAAGGTTTTTGTAAATATTTCGCGAAAATATCAACCAAAAAAAACAGAAAATACCTGCTCCAAGTGAATTTTTAGACGCCAAATGAATTGAAATATCACGACCAAGTGTGCAGAAGTGTAATCGTCATGTAATCGTTGCTTCATGACGATAACTATGACTCAACTATGATTGGACGACCAATGAGCAGAAAGCCTTAGTCAATCGTCAATTATCGTAAGACGCACGAATACGATCATATCATACATGTGTCCATGATACAAAAAACAAGGTAGTTCCATTGTCACTTTTTCGTCGCCATATTAACAACCTGACAATTAAGCAGATTGTGACATTTCGTGCTACCATACCCAATATTTAAAATCCTTCAAATTTTCTTATTAATGTTTTGTCGATTTAAAAATATTTTGTTCTTAAGCATAGCATTCTAAGAAATAAACAAGAATAAGTGTTAAATTCCACAACATTTCGTTGATACATTTTTGCAACATGAAGCTAGCAACACAATTTTCATGACATTTTTAAATACACATGTACATTTTAAATTTTGTGAAAGCTGACAGTTTATAGAATTCAGTAGCGACGAAAACAAAGGGGGGTTAAGTGGTTAAACCTTACCCAAGCCGATCATAAAACTTGCGACGCAATTTCTTCTTATGCCTGTGGGTCTTGGCAAGAATGTAATCCCTGAAGGTTTAGCTAAAATGGTTTTCGGGATACACCCTGTGATCATGTTACTTTCCAGAAGGTGTGGCTCCCGTTTTTCTGTACATATTTTCGTTAGAAAAATACCTTATCTCAGTATTCTAGGTAAATGCTTCCAGAGGTATCTATGCGTCACCAGAATTTTAGTTTATTTAGCTTATACCGCTAGCTCTTTTCAACTGCTACGAGATTGTTTTCATATACCCCCATTTTTCATAGGTTTGGGATTGATTTCATTTACCTCTATTCCTAGTTCTACGGTGGCACGCCGCATTTTCCAATAAACCCATATTTTTCCATGAGCTTGAGATTGACTTCATATACATATATCCATACAAAGTTCCAGGACTCTACCACAAATACTTCCAGAGATATACACTATGAAAAATTCGATTTGAAGGGAGGTTCCACATGCCCTTTAGATATCGGTTTTGTTTTAGCCTATAACCATTCTTGGAAAACTTTTGTCCGAAATTTCAAAAAAATCGGCATTGTGACTCCTCAAGCGAAATGATTGCAAAAAATGAAATCAAACATCGTAGTTGACCAAAAAAGAATATTCGACTTCATTCTCTCAACTTCTCAGAATGTAGAAAAGCTAAGAGATATATAATAAGATAGGATATATTAAAACAGCCTCCAAAACATTTACTAAAGACACCCCTGGACTACACAAATCAGTTTTATTGAAAATTTGTTTTTATCTATTTATTTTATCCTTCAATTTTGGGTGTGTCAAAATTTCATGTGAAAACAATGTGTTGCTAGAAAAATTTTACGGCCCATGGGTACCAAATTACATTACATTGCGTTAAATGGACAAAGACAAAATGTATTAAATAACACATCGAAATGTGTAATTTCAGTAATTTGTGTAAATGTGTAATTTCAGAATTACATCAGAATCACGTATCCGATATAGAAAACTACATTGTGAAATAATGAGATGACATGAGGACACTAACATAATTTGAAAATATGTTCACTAAAATTGTATTAATATTAAAATAATGATTTGGCAAGTTGTTATCGAATTTAATGTAAAATTTAAACGTTTTCAAGATAAGATATTGATTATTTTTAAAAGGTATATATTAATACAACTATTTTCTTTATAATCCCAAATTTAGGATATAAAATGTCCCACCGCACAAACCTTACAATTGGGTAATGCCGCTTCGAATTTTTCACAATTGAGCAATTGTCAAAAATCTGCTTTTTAATCAAAAAGTTGTTTATTGAAACTACCTTCTTTTTTTGTATCATGCATGTGTCGACGTCACAGCAGCAATGTTGTGTTTTGTTGTAGAAAATGCCCTTTCATTAAAGCGCAAATGAACAAATTAAAAAAAAATATAAGTTTCAAGATCTGAAAGTTTTTTAGCTGACGGTGGTAGAAGTAGTAGAAATGTAAAGTGTTATCTATTCCACAAATGTGGTTAAGTCCGAGCACTGGCTGTTGAGCAACACTTCGCTGCTTCGCACACAAGCGCATGTGTGTGATAGTGTGAGTGCCCACCTCTGATCTAAACCAGTGGTCGGCAGTCCCTAGCAGCGTTGCCACAGACAAATATTTTTTCCTACCAAAAGTTCCTACCAAAACCTACCAAAATTTTTTTTTTGAGTTTTGAATTTTTTTTTAATGTCAAATTTATTTAAAGTGTAGGTAACATAACATTTAGTAAGACTAAAACAGAGCTAGTGCAATAAAAAAAATTAACTCCGTATAACAATTCATTTTACTGTACAGACTTATAAAAATGTACATATATGTCTTTACACATATATAAGTAGTTTATCACAACTTTCAAGTTCAGTTCAATTTAAACTAACTTGTAGACATATAAAGTATATATGGATGTTCATATTGTATATGAATGTTATTCCTATGAATTTGTAGGTACATATGTATATCTTCTTATCTATCTTTATAAAAAAAATTAAAATTCATCGACCAGATGTGCGAATTGAAGAACGAGAGGAAGGATCTGTAAATCTTGTGTCGATAGGACCTTTGATGATGTAATAATTTGCAACATCTTTATGTCCTCACGGTTAAAATCAAATCTAGCTTTCAGTTGGTCTAAAAACTCAATATAGAACAAAAGCGCCTTCATTTTCACCTCAATTATCTCATCAGAACACAAATTGCCTTTCATGAATAGCTCTGCCTTGGTTCCAATAAAAATATCAGCAACTGATCTGTGATTGCATTTGTCTTTGAAATTAACGTCAACATCATTGTGGAACAATTCGTGTTTAATAAAGTTGCTTTGAATTAAAAGAAAATTTGATTTTATGCTAGTGTACAAATATGGCAAACGTGGGCTTGAAATTCTTTATTTAGATTGTTGATAATAGGTAAAATATAGGAAAGGAATAAAAGATAACACTTCGTTTGGACACTCATTTTTTCCGCCAAACGTGCCGGTTGGATTCCATTCACTTCATAATAACACGATATGAAGTATAATTTTAAGCAATCCCATTGCTCAACTATTCTTGAACGCCCTCCAAAGATAACCATCTTGTGTTAGAAATTCCCAAAATTTTGTGAGCTTTTACTGCACAATATTCCTGAAATTCTTGAAGTTCAGTTATTCTTTTGGGGCTGTGGCTGAAGAAACTGTATATATTACGACAAAGCGACTCAACATTTTTTGGCAAATGTTTGCTGGCATAGCTTGAGCAGAGGTGCAGTGAATGGCATGTATGTACATTTCAAATAAAAAAAGTCAACATCTTTGCTTAACGGCCCGCCTCCACAGGCAAAAGTTTTTGCCTACCAACTGCCATTTTTATTGCCTGATAAAAATTTTATCAGTGGCAATATTTGTGCGTGGGCATTTTTTATCTTGATAAAAGCATTTATAAGATGGCAATTTTTGCCCGATTTCATCAATTAAAAAGTTTAAAAAATATGCTATTTCACACCCAAGCAAATAATAACACATATTTTAATAGAAAACAGTTCAATTTTTGCTTTTATATTGAAATATCGATAATGTTGTCTCCACGAAGCTATCGCGCAAATGAAAATGTAGCTGTCAAAGTACCAAATTGCTGGCAATATTTATCAAGATAAAAGCTCTGATAATTATTGCTTGCCAAGAGCAATATGCGGTCTCCATGGGCAAAATTTTGCCTGATAACATTATCAAGATAAAAACTTTTGCCTGTGGAGACAGCAAGAAATAAGCCTTTGAGACCTCCTAAATCTCCGGCCATTACGTTGGCTCCATCGGTTGCCAAGCCAATCAGATTTTTTCAAAGGTATGTTATTTGCACAAAAAAAGTTTTTAATAACTTTGTAAATGGAAACAGCATCTCCTTTTTTAAGTTCTAATAAAGCCATACAGCGATCCTGTACTACACGAGCAGCGTTAACATACATACCTCGCCACAAGATCAAGACTTTCAATCATAGAAACGTCGGTCGTTTCATCCACAATAAGGGAAAATTTCGTGTTTCTCAAAATTGGAAAAATTTGCTCACTAGCCTGCTTGGAAATATGTTCAGTTATTGCAACTGATTTGGTTCTTCCACATTTAATGAGCTTAGCAATCGCAGAGTCCGGACAACATTCTACAAGCAAAGCTGCTAGGAAGTCCATAAGTAAAAATGGTAAATTGTGGGTGATGCAGAATATGACCAATGTTAACTCTGCATTTTTAACTTGCTGCTGCTGTTTTTGTTGTTCCGCATCGTAAAATTTTTCCAGAGTAAATTGTTTTTTGCGCGCCTCATAACATTTGATATGGCTTGATGTTCTTTGATGGGCCTTTAGGTGGCTGCTATGGTTGATTACCGCTTTTGAACAAGCTACACAAAATGCACAGCCATCTTTTTCATGCAGCCAGTCAAATAAACGCAGCCTTTCTGGACGAAATTTTCTTTTCACTGCTTGCTGCTTCTCTTCATCTCTATCAATTAATATGAAAAAATAGTATTCAGGAACAGGCTTTTAGAAAATATCGGTCAGGAAGCATTTGAAATCAACTATTCGAAGCAACTCGTCTTCCAAACGGTTGATGCACTGAATTGTTTATTACCTGCACGATGGTTCATCTCCTGTTGACTCTGCTTTGCGTTTCTGGTTACAAACCTGAAAATAAATCGTTAAAACATTAACTAATTGATATTAATTTACTCACTTGTCCATCGTATCGTTTTTTAATAAACCGCAAGCATGTCACTTTTCTAAAGATGTGTGCATGGCACTTTTCGAGAGATGTTCAATGCGCTGTGTTCGAGCGGTTACTTGTTGCGTACGCTAGTGTTGCAACCACTGCTACAGTCATATACACACATCTAATAATAGGGGTATGCGTTTATACATACGAATCAGTTATAATAATGCCTATTACGGTATCCGACGGATGCTATTCGCACGAATCTAATGCTTCGCTCTCGCTTGTTACGACAGTGCGAATCTTACTAGATCCGTGCGGATGGCATCCGTCGTATACCGTAATATTCATGATTTACATTTTTGCGTGCGGCATTATACGAACACACCGTTGAAATATTCTTGTAAGCAAAATTGAAACAATTTTTCGAAATATATTTTCTATTTTTCGGAAATAACCCAAACCTACCAAAATCCAATCTAGCCTACCAACCTACCAAATGGAAAATAACCTACCAGTTTTGGCAGGAAAAGCCCATGTTTGGCAACTCTGGTCCCTAGTTCACTGAGCGCTCTCTGAGAACATGCGTGTTTCACACGTATACGAACAGTGTTGCCGCGCCGTCTCAAGAAAATGTATCCCTGACCAAGCCAAAAATGTATCCAAATGTATCCAATTTTCTTTTTTTACATATACATCTCATAACTTGTAAGAAAACCAAACATTTTCATGAAAAAGACATAATTTAACCCATGCTAAGGACTTGGAATACATGTGCATAAAATCAAACATTTGTAATTTCAACTTATAAAGTACATTTTTTGTGCATAAGTATTTTGCAAAGTAAATATAATAAATAGCAAGTACACTCTAAAAAGAGCATGTAAAACTACTACTGAAAAGTATCTATTTTT